TTTAAACTTGTTAGTGGAATATTGAAAATCTAGCTTAATATAAAGCCATAAGGACCACCCAGCATCCTTATTTTTTGGGTTGTTCTTTTTTCTTCGGTGGATAAAGTTCCTTTCATTTGGCAAAACTATTATTRTTTTGGACTAGCATATTCTAAGTGAGGTTTGTTTTCTATCTGGAAGAATGAAATTCACTGCTTATTGCTCTGTGTATGCCTTAGAAAGCATCGTTTGATTTTGTATTAGCTCAGTTCTGTGAGGCTCTCATTGATGGGAAGTGGGGAACCAAACAAGAAATGTTTTTGAAAGCGAGTATACAGATCTGTGTGTCTTAGATTATATCTATTAGTATTAGTAGCATTCTATTAGTATTTCACAGAGTGGTGAGGGAAAGATTTCTGTTCCAGCTACGACTGAATAAACAGTAAGATGTGACTAGGAATCTGCACCGCAAAAATGTTATGGACACCTGAAACTTCTGCTGAAGTGGCGAATTAAGTAATGAAGTTGTAGAAATACAGTTAACTACTGGAAATGTAGCAGTTCCTAGGTGGTATTCCTCTGCTATTAACTAGGGGATTCCCTTAACAGTTGAGTTGATTTCTTCAAGCAGGTCAGTCTCACCTTTCTAAAGTTACACTGTTGTCTGGCATTTATAGAAGTCATGTAGGGATGATGTTAAGAAAAAGACAAATTTACTGCCTAAGCCAGAAGGCACACTTACAAAAAGCAACTTTTTTCAGGACACGAAAAGCTCTTTGTTCTGTGGCCTTGGTCTTTTTGTGCTTTGACCCTTATTTTATAGCATTGTCACTCTGACCTTAAATCTTTGAAAGCAGACATGCAGCAAATTTAGCCCTTTACTAGTGGGGTTTCGTTCTGAGCTATTGGCCTGTTTTTTTTCTTTAGGCATTATAGTCCCATACAATACTGAGATGCAACAAAATCTCAATTGAAGATTTGTGGTTTGGCATAGTATAAATTGTTATTGTTTATATACAAGGCAWTTTTTTAAAAAATATATTGCTCTGTTACTGGCCTATGATTTATAATTATTTACGAATTTGAGATAAGACAGCAGCTAGGAAGGCAGTCTGGCTAATGCTGACTAATAGATTTTTCATTTTCCCAGAAGTGCTTTGGAAGTTGATCCTGTGCACAGACCACCAGGCTTTCTACAAAAGCTACTCAAATATTCTGTTGAGGACAATAAATGTTTTTCTGTTCATTCTAGAGTTAGAAGATTTAAAGAACCATAYGTACATGGTCTTCTTTCATAAAAGATAGTGCCACCTTAGGAGAGCACAAAATTTTACATGMGGCCTATTAAATGAGCAAGTCTTCTGAGAAATTAATAACTTTTTTTAAAAAAAAACCCCAAAAATTAATGAAAGTAATAGAAAACTAATAGTTGATAGATGTTAATTTTTTTTGAGAATTTAATATGTTTAAGAGGAAAAACTGTTTTCCTATCCTAATAACTTTATATAACTGGYTTGTATTGTACAGTTACTGTGTTTGGCGAGGGATTGTCATATTTTCTTCTATCGGCAATGATTCTATCTACTTCAGGTTTTGTAAACTTCAGCTATAATAATAGGATAATACTTTCTGAATAATAGTAATAATATTAATATTGTAGTAGTCTAATAATCTAAGGCTACATTGATTGTAAAACTTGAAAAGATTTCTCTTTTTTAATTTTTTTTTTAATCTGCAAAGGTATTAGAAAATTTGTTTTAATATTTATACAGAAACTGAGGATTCTATTTTTAGATAGATATGCCTTTCTTTTTGATAAATTCACTATATCTAGTTTTAATTTTTGTGACAAAATTGGAGGAAAAGGAACATTTTAATTACTACTGTAATGGAATATTAAACTTACTTTGTAGAACTTAGAAAATAGCTTCTTAGTTTTTCTTAATTTTGTATGTGTCCCTTCAAGCAGAAGGAATGCTGGTACAGATTGAAAGTGTTCACACAGCTTTCCTCCTGTGTGCTTGCCRAAGGTGCAGGGAAGACAGATTTTTAAAAGTTGTGCGCAAGCTATACTAGTGCAGTCAAGAGGGATCTGGAAGGCTCTTCTGAAATACAGCTTTTACAAACTCTGCTAGAACTTGGAGCTTGTTACACTTTTCAAGTTCCCTGTAAAATGTTTCATATAACAATCTAGTTGATGCATCAACTTCTGACAAAACACTTTTTAGAAGCTGGGAAAAGAGATGGGAGTGGTTAGTCTTATTCAGTTTTATTTTTAAGCTGCAGTTGTTTCTAAAATGCACTGATGATATACCGAAGTATACATTGATAGTTTTTGTGTGCTATATCAGCTTCCCATAGTTGCCCTTTTTTTAGCTAGCAAGCTATAAAAATTGACATACTGTACTTGTTCAAGTCAGAACTGACTACCTTTAATTTCTTGCCTTTCACAGAAATCCACTGCATTCTGTTTCCTATTCATCACTCCAATAGAAGCATCAACATTGCAGAACCAAGTAACTGTCTTCACTTTGGTTTGTCTTCCTGAGTGCATTTGGCAAGGGGTGCATTTTATGCAAATTAAWGAGTGAAGCTAGTATAAGCACTAGCTGGAGTCTTAGATTAGGTAAAAGCATGTAAAACAAAATTTGATGCTGAGAGTCCTTAACTGCACTTCTAAATTTCCAGGTATTTTTATACTTCTGAATTTCTCAATGGTTGTACTTCCTGGTTTTATTTTTAGCTGGCTTTGTTATTTCATGTTTATCTTATGCAGTAGTTCTCCAGCTAGTCTAAATCTGTATGTGATCCTTGGAGAGATGGCTGGACACATGATATAGATTCACCAAATTTAGGAGCAGTAAATTTCAGTAATCAGCAGTCATCTGTTTCACTTTAGTTATTAATACTTTGCATTGCAAGAAATGTAGTTCTCCCAGTCTTTTGCCATGGTTATATGGAGAGTATTGTTGACATAATCAGGAAATAGTTAACACACAATCTCTTTTTTTTTTTTTTTTTAAATATCAAAGTTTGTGCTACCAAAACGCTAAATTGGTACAGTTACCTCTGTTCAAATATTCATCTTTATGTTCAGAGAATTATTTGAAGCATTGTGAATTATTTTAACATCTCTATAATAGTGTTAGAAATATTCAGCTGCTTGCTAGAAGGTATAGGTGCACCTTTTGTACACAGAGAGTGTGTATAAGCTTGGTCCTGAATTACTGCACTTCTTTGAAGTGAAGTGAGGCAAATTTATTGCTGTATTAATCATTTAATTTTTTTTAAAGAAACACATGCAACCCTAGCACAAAATTGCTAGGTTAGAGACAGATTTTGTTTTTAATTTAATTTAATTTTTTCTTTTTAGAACTGCAGTCTTAAACACAAATTTAAAATCTCACTGTTACTTCAGGAGAAGAACTATCAAGGTGTAAGTTTATTCTCTTAATTCTTCTTCTTCTGACCACAAAGTAAACCTCAATTAAGTTGAGTGAATTAACTGAGTATCATAGGTTATACCTGAACCAAATAATAATGCAATAGTAGCCAAAAGTACACTGATACCTTTAAAGTTAATGTTCTGAAATATTTCAGTGGAATCTTTTCTTCTTTTAGAAAATACATGCATATCACTTTAACRGCTGCTGACCATGATTGAGAAGGAAAGATGGTTCCTTAAAAAAGAACAAGAAGGCAGGAGTAAAATAATATACTTCTAAATCTAAGATTTAATAATGAGCAAGAGTGATAAATCCTAGTATGTTTGCAATATGAATATTGCAGTGTTGAGAAAGCATATGACAAAAATTAAATGAAACTATTGTTTAAACTTGGAGGGAGGATTGTAAACAGCGTGCGAGAAAGATACAGCTACATACACTTTAAGATGTTAATATCTTAGAGAATGGAAGGATTAGATTTCTTGGTAGTGAGCAGTGAGTTTTTCTCAAATTCTGTCTTTTTCCCGGATTAGTTCAATAAAACCCCAAAAGTGTTTTCAGCAAGCGTTGAACTGTCAGTGTGTTTAGTCATGTTTAGTGGTGTATTAGTGGCACTGTACTGTGAGAGGAGAGCTTGGCAAATTGATCAGCAGTTGTCCAAAAAGCTACACTGCAAAATGTCCTTTGTAACAGAGAAGTAACTTACTCTGGTAATGGAATGTACAGAGCAGGACACACTTATCAAAGATGTCCCATTTCATGTTCTGCCATCTCACTGCAAACTGTCTCATTTCTAGTTTTCACTAAGCTAACCTGGGAAAACTGAGACATGGATATATATTTGCCAGTGCCGGGGCTATGGAGCAGAGTAGTACAGGTTGACAAATGCAATGCTTTAGACGATGAACACTTAAGTCTTTCACGTTCATGTTCAGTTTTATTTTAAAGTGAAATAAGGTTTGGAAAGGGTCACAATGAGCAGTGAAGCGATAACCTCGCTTTCATACTGGATCTGTRTTGCTTTGCATTAATGAGTAAGTAATAAAGGCAATGGAATATGGTTGTGTGCATTGGTGTATAACACTATCGACAAGGCAGATGTTTTGGCCAAGAAGTATCAAGAAAGTGCTTGTACTGTATGAGCAAAAGGCATGAGGTTAATGTTTAATTTTGTATCATGTTCTTGGGTATTAGAGAAAATATACAGTGTTTAATACAATGACCTTGATACGTCCAAGTCACTGACCTGCCAGTCCGATTGCAAGCCTAGTGGTACCTTCGGGATACAAAATGTTAACACAGAGGTTTAAGGAACTTATTAGTAGTTATAGTATCATTTAAGGAGTTTATTAGTATGTATAGTAGCTAGAAATTGACTTGTAGCTAGTTTTCATAGGGTCAGAAAAGATTAGGTTTGGCATGGTATTGTTGTAAACCATACACAGTAAAATCCAAAAATTATATTTTATATTAGGCTTGGTCTTTGATAAATCAACTGAGAAATACTGAAATCAAGGAAAGGCTCTTTCATTGCTTGGGAACACTCCAATTGCTAAAACAAGTATAAATACACACACACACACACACACAGTCTCTATTTTAACAGTTCTAGTAGGTTTTTTCAAAGAGCATTCCTGGCCTGTGTATGTGAGCCTGCTCTGTGGAATTTCAATTTTCATCTTCAGAATCCTTCCTTGGCAGAACTCTTGTTTTTAGGGACTTGGGAAATGTAATGGAGCGGCTTGCATACATGATTCCCAGCTCTTATTGAGGTCTCCTTTTGTCTGTCTGTCTCTCATTCACCCTCCTCTTAAGACACAAGGATGAAGGTAGGAGAAGCACTCTTGGTAACAACTATATTGATTTTATGACCTAAACATAATGGTGCACAGCTTCTGGATCTCAGTAGATTTCTGGCTTAGGAATCTTAGACTTCTTATCTTAGACTTCCTCCTTTCATCCTTTTCCTGTTCTGCAACTCCTTCTCTCACGTACACTGCCTTTAATTTTATGTGAAAATTTGCTTATTCTGCTTGTAGATGAAATTGTTTTAATAGCAGTGTAGAAAATATATAGTCATGTCATGTTGAATTTTGGGTTGGTTGGCTTCTTTTGGAGCATTCTGTAGTAAAGTTTAAAAARTAACCAGCAACAAAGCACTCTCCAAAATAATTTWWAAAAAAACAAAGGAAAAACACAAACAAACAATCCAGAATTGTGTAATTCATGTAAGGTTTTGTATTCATGTTTTGTATGGGTGGGTGGAAGTACCTGCAGGTTTTCTTACATATGTATTTACTGTGGAAAATAGCATAATAGTTCAGCAAAGTTTTCATTTCATGGTGTGTATAGTTTAATTTTAGAGGGATTTAGTTATGCAACAGGAAAAAAACCTTCTATACTTAAGCTAGAACCTGAAAGCAACCAGGCAATTTAAAGAATAGTATCAGTTACACTTGGAGTTTCAAATTAAGAATTTGGCCTAAATGTAAAAATGAGAAATGCACTTCCAAAGGTATTAAATGTGGCAGCTGTCTCATTGAAATAATATTCATTTGGTCTTTTAAGGTAAATCTATAATTACAAAGCAGTACTTTCTCTTGCTAGAGAATATTTTTTATATACTTTTTCCAGAAAAGTTAATCTCCTGCTGCTGGCCAGCGTTTTTACTCAAATCTATCTTTATCTTTGCCTTCCACTTTATATGTGTGTGTGTATATATATATATGGTGGAGATTTTATCTTTACCTTTTCCTCTCTTGGCTTATGCCTAGCAGAGTTTCTTCATGGGGGAAGATGAACTGTCAGAGCATACCTTCACTGTTTAGGTTTATTTTGACTTTAATTCACCATGGTAAGTTGGATAATTGTGCCTATTTAATCTAGTTTGCCTATTTCAGCTTTCTGATTTAAACAAACATAGGTAGTAAGAGGTGGGGTGGGGGTAAGTGTAAATATAGCTGTGCAAGTATAAAATATCCTGGAAATGGCTCTTTGATACAGTTCCTAAAGTTAGCATTCCTACCTGGATAAATGATATAAAAAGTGTTGCTCCAGCTTAACACTGGCAATCTCACTTTAAATTGGCACATTTGTGGCAATGGACTCTTCTAGCAGATATTGTCATCCTCTATWACTGTAGGAACTAAAACAGGAAGGGAGAAAAGAAAAACTCCCTGATCTTTTCCCCAAGTGGCCTGCCAAATCTCTTTTTGTGCTTTCAGATAGCCCTGTTAATTTCCAGAAGTTATCATGACCTGACTAGAAGGCTTATTGCAATGGAGTGGAGTGCTTGGGTCCATGCTGTGTAAGTAGCTTTTGTCTTAAGAGTTTAGTATAAAAATGTTAAAGATGGTATAATTCATGTTATCTGGGGAACCAGTAAAATGACTGCACTCACTTAAATCTCTGGCATACTTCTAAGAAAATGATAACTAGCAGGGATGTGAACTCCAGATCTCTTGCCTTCTTCAAATAAAGTAGTATGGTCATTCTGGTCTGGGGTCACATGAATTCCTGCTCTTAACAGTAAGTTGCTGATCTTGCTAACAATCTGTTGTGGGTTTTTTTAAATGTATTGTTTTCCCTAAAATTAATTAAGAAGACACTTTTAAGTCTGTCTACCCAAAAATTGCAGTAAGGGTAAGCTGCAGAACCGACTAATGGTTTGAGGACTGATACAGTAGTTGAGAGAAGCATGTTTCGAAATTAGCTCTTATTCTCTTACATATGATTTTTTTTCACGTCCAAGTTTCCAGATGACCAAAAGTATAACCCAGACTTTTTCGTTTTCTTTTGAAGTAAATATCTGCATAATCTTTAGTTCCTCTAATCAGATACACAATTGTCCAGTTTGTGTTTCATGTCCCATTAAGGTACTATGCACAGTTGACAGTAAAGTCTAGAGCTTCAATGTAAATAAACAGTCAGCTTGGCAATGGACAGATGTTTTATAAACATTGTGTAGTTTATTAATACAGCTGATGTTACTACATGAAAGCTAAAGTTCAATAAGAAAATTCTGTATTTAGTTCTCAGTGTATGTTTCTATTTCCTTGAAGCATGGTAGACACCTTGGCATAACGTAGCAGCACATAATGGTTTGTGGGTTTTGAAAAGGTGCAGGCCATATTGTGCTGCCTCAAAAATACAAGGATTTCGTCACCCTGAAGAGACATACCACTTATGAATTAGTCAATCTTGTGATGCTGATGTCTGTCATACTTTAGCAGCACGTAAATATTGGTGTTAAGACTGTAAATATCTCCAGTATTAACTGTGCTGCTGAAGTAAGGCTAGCCACTTCTGCACGCGAGTTGTGGAACAGGACATTGCATGTATTTCCTATGCCTTTTTGTTAATATAATTTGTATATTGTTTGTTTATGAGCTATTTCCTAGGTTTTGTTTGTATTTTCATTTATTCAGAAATTATATTTACAACTTCATAGTATCTGTTGGTAAATATAGAATAGATACATATATAACTTTKCTTTGGTATACGTGAAAAATGAACTTTTTAAAGAAGCCATCTCAAGCTACACCTGTCTAACAATGCTTTGGTAAGTGTGTTTATATTTTTAAAACTACAAAAATTACATTACTTTGTCAGTATTTCTTTACTAAAGCTCTTAAAACTGTGTTCCTTTTTACAGCCTTTTCTAAATTAGTGGAACTGGGAAATTTTTGGTCATGCTTTTTGCAAAGAGATCTCAAAGAAAAACTGCAAAACTTATTAAAATGCTTATTAAAACTTATTAAAATTAGCAAAACTCATTAAACGCTTTATTTCTTAAACCACTGGGCTATAGACAGGCAACAGTTTTATGGTGAGAAGTTTAAACTGTGTATCTGACTGAATTTACTATTTTTTTTTTCTCATCTTGCACTAAGATTTTTCTCTTGCAGGAGAATCTTTCATTGAGATTATTGAAATTGCTGCAGTGAGAATGGAAATCACTTGGGCTCCTTTCGTTTTAAAAGCTGGATGCAAGAACTGTGTGGTGAGTCAAATGTAGACTAATGGTTATGTAAATGTCACTAATTTTAGATACAGATCTGAAAGTGTGTTTCCTTTTAAGATTTTATTTTCTTCGCTATCATGACTCAGTATCACTTGCTAATCTAATTTTATTAGCCCTGTTGTATTTTACCATTTAAGATACACATACCTTATTCAAATAGTGTTCACAGATTCAACTTAATATATCATATAGATGTTTTAAAAGGAGGAAAAAAGCTTATCTGCACTGGAGATCTGTTTTGATTTTAGCCTTCACAGGCCTGCTGCTGGTGCAGTTCCACAGGTACAAACACGATGTAGATGAATATGAATCCAAGTTGTTATGATTCGTAAGTTTGCATTATTTGACCGTATTTCCCAATTTCAGCCTGGTAAAAATCACAGTCTGTTTGTCTACTAATGCTGTGTATTTGAACTGGTAGAATTACTGATGGCTAAATTTCCAATTTACTTCAGACCTGAGCAGCTCTCAGCAGCAAAGCTATTCAGAATTAGATAGCTCTTTTCATAAAGATATTAGATAGTTCTTTTCATAAAGAACACTTCTGTGTGCACATTTACCTACTACAGGTCTCTTAAGATATATGACCAAAATGAGGTTGACTACTTAGAAAAAATATCTGTCTGGCTTAGGGTTGGATAGCTTTCTCATTGACTTTCTTCAAGTAGCACTATGCTGTACTTGTTTATTGTAACTGCTTAATATTAAAGACCTGCAAATACATTTCAACCCTTTGAAAGCTTAGAAATGCTTGAAAAGACCAAAATCTGAGAGTTACAAAAGAAAAAGATATTATTCTTCCTCTATTCCACTTCTCTTAAAGGTCACTGATTTTTTTCAGCACGCTGCTGACTGGTGCTTGCAGCAGTTGCTTTTGTACATCAAGTATTTTGATTTACCCAGGATTTTTCCCAGGGACCTCTCTAAGCAGATGTGAATCTTAAGAGCTGATCAGAATCTTGAAAGCGTACAAGTCAGTCTATTTGCATGTCTTTATAAAATCCAGTGGCTATACCATTTGTTCCTGACTACTTCATTGTGCCTATGTTAGCCTTTGTGCGAAGAGCGAAACAAACTGTGCTTCCTTCTGGTTCACCATGCAAACTCCTATCACCGGCACAAGGGCAGGAAATAGCAGGGAGCAGGAAGAAGCAAAAGGGCAAAGGTTGGACTGTCTTGTTTGGTGGCCCTAGCAGCTTAGAATAGTTCAGTGACATGGTGAAAACACACTTTGAGCATTTGCAGAACTAGAGTTCAACTGAGGAACCAAAGTTCCTGTCTGGATTAAGAAAACTACTTCAAGTGCTTATGAAGGCCTACTCAAATTATTCCATTCCTACACCCTTGAAAAGGATGTTACATTTCTTGCATGGTTCACAGGTGGCTTAATATTAGCAGTTACATTTTCCTGATGTTTGCCTGTATGGGTGGTGCCATAGGCTGTGGCTTCATACTGAAGCCATAGGCTTCTCTTCATATTACAGCTCTGGGGTCTTAAGGTCTGTGTCTGGTACAAGAAAGAAAAGCTCACTGTTTTCACTTCAGGTGCTTGTTTTCTGCTGGGCTTAGGAACTGTATGGGAAAAAGGTGTTTAATTCATATAGAAGGGGAAGAAAATATAGACCTGCTTGAAAATCAACTGAGACTAGTAGCCGTATGTGAGTGAAGAYACCTAGTGTATGGAGTAGGTCTAAAAATCTGATGTTGAAAGGTTGGAGCTGAGAACAGATTTGGGAAGGACAGATCTGATGAACTGAAAAATCAGAAGGTTTTAAATAAATTGAGCAAAGATTTGGGATTTTGTTTGTTTCTTGATATTGGAAGAAGCAGCAGCCTGACAGAGCAGATCTGGCTTGAAGAAAAGAGAACAAGTCAGGCTTGGAGAAAGGGGCTTGCTCTCCTCAGATTATTCCCAACATTCAATAGAGTGCTCTGCACTTCAGATCCCAAAGGGAATGTGGACTACTAAGTAGTAGCTTTTCCTGTCATGGGGAAAATCATTGTCAATTTCATCCCACTCATCATATTCCACATAGAATACCCTCAACTACTTCATGGATTTTGGTCCTGAAAAGGAATCCCAAAATAAGAGTAGTTGAGGATATAAGGGACATCTCTTTGGAGATCGTCTAGTTCAAACACGGTCAGGCAGAGCAGTTTCTTTAGGGCTGTGTCCAGTAGGTTTTGTATATATTCAAGAATGGAGACTCTGCAGCCTGTCCTGTTCAGCTAGATTTTTTTGCAGTTCATTTTGTACCTGTTGCCTCTTGTCCTGTCACTGGACACAACTGAGAAGAGCCTGGCGCTGTCTTCTTTAGTCTCCTCTACCCCCACGAGCAGGCATTTAGACACATCGCTGAGATCACACAAACACAAGCCTTTTCTTCTCCAGGCTGGCGGTCTCAGCTTGCTCAGCCTTTCTTCATGTGAAAGATTCTTCAGTTCTCTCATCGTCTTTGTGGAAGTAAATAAAATGCTTCATCTAATAAGGGGAATTAGAATTCAAAGGGGGAAATGTTTTGGGGGGGACGACAAAGCACAAGCTAATAACTGTAAAAAGAACATTAAGATCACAAAATGAAACACGAAGAAGTTAGATAACTCCTGCATTAAGATCCTGCAATCTTCATTTGCCCCCTTGTGTCAGTGTACTATGAAGCCATCTTCATGATCACACAGAATATTTAATCTAATTATAGGATTGGCCTGGTGTGGTGCTGGACCGTGGAAGATATTTGTGGACTGTGCAAGAAAGAAGGCTGATGTTCCTATAGGTGCTGCAGAAATTAGTAAAAAAAATCTGTAGGCAATGGAACWAATGGCTGCAAGTAGAGGAAAAGAAGTCTTCATGGTTATGTCAAGTGAGAATTCCTAAGAATTGGATGAGATATTTATTTTTCTGCCTTTATTCTTGCATGATGCTGGACAAGTTAGCAGGCCATTGCTTCTGTAGTGCTTATATTGTGCTTTACTTTAGAGGTGTCTGATTTAAAATTCTCATGTCTGAAAGAAACACTGGTGGTTCACATTGGTAGCTGAGGTTCTTAGGAGTTGTTATTTGAATTAAAATAATCTGTAAAGTTACACCTGCTGACAGTCTCCTGCCTTCTTAAAGGGTACCTCAAACTATTCTATACTATGATAGTTTCTACACCTCCATGTCACATTTAAAATAGGGGTAATAGACACATACCTTGAAAGGCTGTTCGCTACCTTTGTTGAGTACCTGTACTACAGTAATGCATTTTATTGTGGAATTTTCTATGGCATTTATTAATTCTGATTTTGGAGGAAGCAGTGAGTACTGTGCATCTTGTAAAGACCACATCTACACTCAACTTTCCTTGTTACCAGCTCAGGCTGAGAAGCAGAGTTTCCATGCTGTTTATTCASGGTGTATTTCTGCAGTCCTGTCAACTCCAAAATACTCTGATTTGTGTCCTGTCTTGTCACTGTGGACTGTGACACTATCACACTGATGTATTCTGCAAATATAATTGTTATTATCATTAAACGCTTGTGTGTGCTGTTTTTTGAATGTCGTTTTCGTAAGTAATATCTTCAACATTTTGCAAAATCTTCTGTACGCTAAGGGTAATGTACACGTTTGAACTTCAGCATATTTGACAATAAATTTACCTGAGAAGATCTATTTTCCAGAAAGAACAATCTAGTTAAATTGTAACAACTGCTTAATGTACAGTGATAAGCACTGCATCTTTAAAAATGTGARGTGACTTATGTATTTGGGACTTCTACAGCTATTTTCTTCACATTTCAAAGGCAGTTTTCTTGTTACTGTATRAGGCATGTTTTGCTAAGTGAGAGTGGTATGCACTGGAAAGTTAGAGATCTGAATATGTTTCAGCTTTTCCCTTAGTCATGGTATCTTGTTAAATATGAGGGAAGTCTCTTCTAATCAGGTAGCAGTACTAGCAGTAATGATTGAAATTTGAGGTATTTATACTCCCTTTATATTCATCACAACCTACTGTCAGAGAAGTCACAAGAAATTATAGAAATATATCYAAAGTGGTGAGCTGCTATTTTTCCTGTTTAACAGCAGCAGCAATTCTTCATGTAAAAACTAAATTTTTTAAATGTACTTGAAGAGAAACTGATGTCTGAGATATAAGTGAATCTCCTTTCTAAGATGGCAGTTCTAACTGTGTATCAGAATAAAATATTAAACTATAAAGAGAAATAAGAAAAAAAATGGGAAAAAAATGCAATGGCATGAGTGACTTTGCTCATCTTTCTGTGAGTGGGATAATAATAATTGGAGTTCTACTTTTTTACTCTAAATAGTTTATTTCTGTTAGAAGTTTTTTAGTGGTCATCAGTTAATTCTCTTATTTTTTCCACATTTTATTCACTTAAAATAGCTCTGTATTTGTTAATAAATTAAATTAATCTTATTTTGCTTCTGTCTCTTAATGTAAAACTTGAACCTTATGTTCAAAAGTTCTGAAATTACCATATTAATTATAGCAGCATTTATTCAGTTTGTATCTTCAAAGCATACAGTACTGGAGTAGGTAAAGGTTGTCTTAGTTTCTGTTGAGAAATAGGAATAATATAGTGTTTTCTTCTACTGTTTATAGCCATAGGAATCAGACACAGATAACTTCCCATTTCCCTGTGTTTCTGCAGGGCAAGCATGTGGCATTATTGCCCATAAAGGAACTTTCTGTCAGCAAGTTTTACACTTTTAAGTGGTTTTAGAAGTAAAATGTTTTGGAATTTCTCAACAAATACTCAAAAAAACTTTAAGTATTATAAAATTTGAATCATATAAGGCATAAATTATAGCATATAAAGCCTCAAATGTATACATTTTTAAGGTTTTCTTGAAATAAAGGCAAAGGAAGAGCTTCAGAGGTTATATTATTTGACCAGCTAGAATAATCAACAATAATATAAGACTRTGGTTTTACAGCCTCGTGATTCTTGAGCCAGACAAGTTTGGGAATGAGTCTTCTTGTTTCCTTCACTATTGCTCTGACTGATATTTCTTTGGTGGTTTCACTGAACGACTTCAGGTTCATTTTTCGTAAGTTCAGCCAGTTGAGTGTGCTTGCTCTAAGCAACAGTGCTGGTACCAAGAAAAGTACCCTCTACTCCTGAGATTTGCMCTCCAGTTTAAAAGTTCATTTTCATTGCTTAGATCACTGTAAGGAATGCCCAGGGCCTTATTCCTCCTTTCTTGAGAGTACTACAGACAGACTTTGCCTATCTGCTCTTTAAATCAGTATCAAAGGCTCAAAAAACATCTTGGTCTATCTCTTTTGTACAGAAGATTGGTATCAACATATGAAAACAGCACAAAAATGTGCATTTAGGTATAGGTTCTTACCATATGGAAGCAGCTATACCATATCTTTCCTGTCATCAAGACAATGTGAAGGTTTCTTTTCCAACAAGCAATATCTGTTACTTTCAGGCACATCAAAAAGTATATTAATGCTATATTATCAATCTATGATGGAACTTCCAACTCAAAAATACGAGATTTCCAGTAGTATGAGACAAAGATGCTCAAGAACTCCAATGTTTTGGAGGTATGGAATCTGTTAAATGACTGATGCTACAACCAGTTTTAAAAAGTGCATGAATGGTAGATGATACAGTCAGAAAAAGGATTTCACTGCAGATTTGATAACATCRCGTAGCCAGACAGCCCCCTGTTGGTTGTACTGTTGTGGAGTTCTAGAAAGGACTCGTGCTTGAATTGAGCTCTTCATTACACTCAGCAAGCTATATTTTTCAATCCCATATCACAAATAGAGAAAGAGGAGGGAGAAAAAAACAGTGTGTGCTTGTAAAGACTAACTTTGAATCAAGTGTTATTTCTTGTGTATAAGAAATGTTAAAGCTTGGTTAAATAGCGTATCTGCACACAGTTTCTTAATGCCTTTGTACAAGATTATTTTTAAATAGCTGTAGTGAAAATGTAGAGCAGTACTTTGTCCTTGTGATAAAACTTCAGCATATTTCACTATCACATTTACAGCCTGACTAATGCAAGTATTTTAATAAAGTTCTATCAAGAATGCAGGGTTTTAAAACCTAAAAGTTTGTAAGCTGGCAATGAACTAGCCAGGTACAACCTTACTTAATGACTGAGACTCTTGCAGGCACATCTGTGAGAGCTTCTGCTATTTAACTAGGTACCGTTTTGCCAAGGGGCTTGGGGTTTTTTTAATCACATTTGCTTCGCTTTAGGATGTTCTTTGTATATGTTTTAAGTTGCTACCGATGCAACTAGCTCCATACTTGTAGTTCATGTTTTCCCATGTGTTGAGAATCTAAGGAAGTAGTTATTCAAAAGAAATAAATGTCTCATGCTGACAACTGCAGGACACTTATTAAGCATGTTGGCAATTTTTCTCTCCAAAGTGTTTGTAAAGAGAAGCTAAAATATCTCTTGTAATGGTCACAGTATATCTGTGTAGCGATGGAAGGTTGTAGGTACTGTATGACATGTAGTAMTGGGTGATGCAAGGATTCCAGAAAGAACTCTGACTCAGAGGAAAAGGATCATCTGCTATGAGATAAAAAATACAGAAGTTATCACTTTCTGCATCAGGTATGGCCAAGGTTATGATAGCTTATCTTTATTTAAGGAATTGAATTTGTGGCTGAAAATCCATAGCTGCAGCAGTGCTAGAGCAACTGATGTGAGAATGAGTTTTCTACTACAGCACAGAAGACTAGTACTATGCCAAGAAAACCAGAATGCTTAAGGACTTTTTCTTACCCTCAGAACATGGAAAAAAATCAGTTATGATCAGGTATTTTGGAACAACTGGCAGAAACAAGAGGGTAAGAGCACCTGCTGTGATTGAAAAGAGGAATGGGAAAGATGTGGATAGAACAAAGAGTTGGTTTAAAGTTGTCATGACTTGCTAAAATCCCTCAGAAGAATTTTAAGAAACTGGCTGAAACAATCTCAAGGCCAGGGGACTTTTTCACAAAACAGAAAACCTGGGTTTCAGAAGCCTGAGGAGATTGAAGTTCACATCTCCTGCTTCTGAAAAAAAATACCTGGTGGAAGTTACCCACAGATGGTCCAAATCTCTCTTGTTAAATCAAGGATATGTGCAAAAAAGAAATCACAAAACCATTTTATTCAAAGGTTGTTGGCAATGATAACTATTGCTGTTAGCAGATGAAAGCAAGCTGCAGGTAGGATTTCAAAGGGTAGCAGAATTTGCTTTTATTGGACTCACTGTGCATGTTACATATTCTTTTCCTAAGATATTTCCTGAAGTAATGGTAAAGTGAGCATACAATAAATTTAAGTACCCATTAAAGCACACTAAAGGAATACCTTATGTTTCCAGTAGATGAACACTGAGATAATGAAGTATTTGTGAATYGCATCACTGTCCTCTAGTATGCCAGAGCTCTGGGTTCTATTGCTAAGAGAGCACCACTAAAGGTGGCTTTAAACTGCTTTAGGCTCCTTAATYTGCTGAAAATGGAAAGTGGGGAGCAGCATTAAAGAACTTCATTGCTGTTCAGCAACCATTCAGCAATGGGATTCACCTCTTCCCTCCTGCAGTCTACCCTCAAACTGCTTTCTGCTTTCTGTGTTTGGAGAAGTTTTTTTTGTGTCTTTGGATTCCAGGGGTTTTTTTTTGTTTTTTTTTTACAAAAGCATTTACAATCCTCCTCATAAATTAACAGCATAGGTAAGAGCATGTTCTAGGTTGTAGAAGATTCAAATAGCTTATCCTGTTGAGAAAAGTTTGAATATTCCTTTTCTGAGGAGTGGTCACTTCGTTTCTAAATTAGGATTGAACTTCAGACCTTTGTCATGGGTCTTGGAGTATCTTTAATTTTTAGTTTGTTTAAGCAATTCTAGCCACTTAGAACATACAGATAACTTGCAGAACTGTTGTATTGTGATCCCATCATTTTATGCTTATTCAGGCAATAAAATAAGTAGCCTGACAAAAATGGCTGCCTACTGCTATGAATGTATCTCAGTTTCCTCTAAAATGGCAGGTTTTTCCCTTTAGCTGTGAATAACTGTCCAGAGCAGTGGACACTTTTAATGGTAATTGACAGAATCCTAACTGTTTCTCCAGTTTTTTTCTTATTTACTGCAGGATTCTTTTAAAAACAGCACCTGGTCCTGTTCATTTATAGTGTTTGAGTTTCTCAGGCTTTTAATAGGCTCTTCTTTTGAAACACTTAGGCCTGGGGAAACTGCGAATCCCCATAAGGCGCATCCTTGAGACAGAGGCATCCTTCTCTGTCACCCTCTATGTTAAAACCAAATTATGTATATCAAGCTTCTTTAGCTTTGACATTTTCTTTCATCTGCCTCTTGATATTACATAAACAAAACAAAAAAAAAACCTCATGAATTCTAATCTCTTTAAGAATATTTGTAACTCTTCTGTGGATGTGTTGTGCATTGATAGACGAGTGCTGCATGCAGCCATTGATACCTGTGAATCTGGTACTCTTGAATGGCAAAACATTGTTCAGCAGCACCTGTGAAAGCAATAACTGCTTTTTTTTTTGGTGCAGAGCAGTGTTAATCCCATCCCCTCATTGTTCAGACTACCAGTGGCTACAAAGAACTTTTCATTAGACAATGATGGTAGTAATTTTATTTTTCACTAATCTTCATTAGTCTTTTCTTACTTTCTTAGTTGCTTATATTAACACTTAAATAATTGTTAAGATGTGGTTTTGGTAAGAAACTAGCATTTCTAGTTTGTTGGGTTTGCAGTTTTTCCCATTGGTTGGAGAAATTGCTTTGGCCTAGGAAGAATTCCATGTCTGTGCACACCCCATGAATGAGCACGACCTCCCTAGCATTCAGACACTCGCTGTGTAATGTAGTGGTGTCATTAAAGACTTCACTTGACTTGATGAGCATCGCATGAATCTTCTAACAAGGCTGAGCAAGCACAACATCTTGCTGTAAGATGTCACAAGTGACACAGGCACCTGGCCTCTGGTTCTAGTTTGCCTGAGCAGAAACACTTGACAAAGACCAGAGCTMTTTTGCTTTTCTAACTTCTTGTCCTAGGCTGTCAGCAAGTCTCCTAACATGCCTAGACCTTGATTAGATGGAGACAAGGAACAGAACATTTGCAAAACATCCTGATTTTATCCTACATATCCCCAGGGAACACCAGACAGTGCAATGATACAGAGCTGGAATTTTCACGATACGTGATATACAGTTCTTTGATTGCTTGGCAGCCATAATTCTGGAGAAATTATCACTAACAATGTGACACCTAAATTAATTATGGTAAGGCTGAATCACCTCTGAGTCCTTAAACTTCATCAGAGAAATCCAGCTCTTCACTGTCAAATCAGGCACAGAATCACCCCTCATCAACTTCAGTGGGTGTCTGGCCTTCAGTATTG